AGAGAGAGAGAGAGAGAGAGAGAAAGTGTGAAAGCAAGCTGCCAGATCCAGGACTTGAACCATTGTCAGCCATGTGGGAGTGTCCAGCACCTTAACCACCACGCCACCTGCTGGTCCCTCTCACCACAATTTTAATGAAAAGTGTTTTCAACCTTTCACAACTTCTATCCCCTGTCCTCACCAAAATCAACATTTCTAGGCAATTAAATTCACTTTAGTCTCAGGAAACTACTTTCTAACAGTTATCTTAAAGACAGCATATACTCACATTTACCTCTTGTCCTCTTCCGTGGATTATAATATTTCAAAGAAAAGGGCTATATTTTATGTAACACAAAATAAGTTTTGTTTTAATTTTCAACATAGGGTCATGCACTTGCCAGAGAGAGACAGACAGAGAGAAAGACAGTGAGAAATCATCCCCCAGGGGGATGGCCCCACAATCCCTTCTCCTCTCAAGATTTTGGGCACACACACACACACACACACACACACCTGGTGTGATTTTCAAGCTGTCGGGTTCAGGACTCAAACCATGGTTGGTCCTTTGGGAATACAGTCCCTTAACCACCACACCATCTGCTGGCCTACATCATATGTTTTTGCACCCTGTAATATTTAGAACAGATCTATACAGTCAGGGGAGAATAACTAATCATTTCCTGGATTTACTGCATCCTATTCATCATGAATTTCTTTGTGTTGGTGAAAAGCTGAATGGAAACTGAAGGTTTTCTCACATTTCTTACATTTGTAGGTTTTTTCTCCTGTATGAATTTTCTGGTGTTGAATAAGAGATGAACTCTGGCTAAAGGCTTTGTCACAAGCATTGCATTTATATGGTTTTTCTCCAGTATGAGTTCTTAGATGCTTTGTAAGGGATGAGCTCTGGCTGAAGGCTTTGTCACATTCTTTACATTTGTAAGGCCTTTCTCCAGTGTGAATTCTCTGATGTCTTACAAGAGCTGAGCGGTCACTGAAGGCTTTCCCACATTCATTACATTTGTAAGGTTTCTCTCCAGTATGGGTTCCTTGATGTTGAATAAGAGCTGAACAGTAACTGAAAGCTTTCCCACATTCACTACATTCATACGGTTTTTCCCCTGTGTGAGTTCTCTGATGTTGAGTAAGGCCTGACCTGTCACTAAATGCTTTCCCACACTCGGTACACCCATAGGGCTTTTCTCCAGTATGAACCCTCTGGTGTTTAATGAGGGATGAGGTGTCGTTGAAAGCTTTCCCACATTCCTTGCATTTATAGGGCTTCTCTCCAGTGTGTATTCTGTGATGTTGAATGAGGTATGTGCTTTGGTTGAAGGCCTTCCCACATTCATTGCATTCGTAGGGCTTTTCTCCAGTATGAATGATATGATGTTGAATAAGGGCTGAACGATGACTGAAAGCTTTCCCACACTCATTACACTCATAAGGCTTCTCTCCAGTATGAATTCTCTGATGTTGAATAAGTGATGAGCTCCGACTAAAAGCCTTTCCACATACATTACATACATAGGGTTTCTCCCCAGTGTGAATTCGCCTATGTAGGATAAAGGCTGAGTAGTAACTGAAGGACTTCTCACATGCATTGCATTCCCAAGGCTTTTTTATTGGGTAGACTTTCTGATGTTTCACTGGATTTGAACCTTCCCCCATTTCATTATAACGCTCCATAGAGTTTCTCTTGTGTTTAATTGTGGCCTGTCTTAAAGTTTTCTTCTGATTTCCTTGCTGTTTTTTTAATGTGTCCTCACATTCCCAGGCTTCTATCACCCTGGAGCCCCAGGAATTATTCTTTTCAAGGCTTTGTATTATCAGCACCCTTTCAGATGACACTTCTTCATAATCTTCCTGCTTTGAAAGGAACTCTTTAGTTTCAGGCATAGATTGAGAATCTAAAATAAATGAAAAGCACAGATATTTGTGTTATTTTCATTGAAAAAAAAAAAACCTGCTGAGGTAGCAAGAGGATAAAGAAAACAAAAGTTAAGGACCAGCAGATGGTGTAATGGCTATGTCTCTGGGCTCCCACATAGTTGACTGTGGTTTGAGTCCTAGACCTGGCAGCTTAAAACTCACACCAGGTGCATGTGCATGAGTGTGTGCCTGAAATCCCAAGAGGGGATAGAGGAGAAAGGATTATAGCATGGTCATCCTCCCTGGGGGGTTGTTTCTTGCTTTTTCTCTCTCTATCTCTGTCTCTTCAGTGAGTACACATGCCCTATAGCAAAAATCTCTCTAAAAATAAATAAAAAATAAAGTTGATGCCTATTAAAATATGTATATTGGGAAGTTCCCAGAAAGGGCTTATGGCAATAGCAGATGAAGAAGTAGCAGGAATAACAGGGAGAATGACTAATATAGAACACATTATAAAGATAGAAAATGTGGGACCAGTAGATGGCATAATGGTTATGTCATGGGACTCCCACATAGTCGACCACATTTCAAATCCTGGACCTGGCAGCTTGAAACTCATGCCAGGTGCCTGTGCATGTGTGCCCCAAATCCCAAGAGGAGAATGAAGGAGAAGGGATTGTAGTGTGGTCATCCTCCTTGGGGGGTGATTTCTCATTTTCTGTCTCTCTGTCTCTCTGACTCTCTGGTGAGCACACGTGCCTTATAGCAAAAATTTCTTTAAAAAAATAAAAGAAAATGAGGATGCTGTATCTGAGCCTAACAGGGAATGAGGGAAGAGGATAAGCAGAAGGAAGGGGAATAAATGCTAACATAAAAGAACTGAAGAATGAGTAAAGATTAAAACACAGGTTATTGGGCCAGCAGGTGGTGTGATTGTTAAGGCACTGGACTCCCACATGGTTGACCATGGTTCAAGTCCTGGACCTGGCAACTTGCTTTCTCACTCTACCCCCACCTCTTTCTCTGCTGAAATTTAATAATAATAATAATAATAAATAAAATTAAATAATTCTTTTTCTTTCTAAAGAGGTTTTTGCTATAGGGCACTTGCACTTGCCAGAAAGAGAAAGAGAGACAGAAAGTAAGAAATCACCCCCTAGGGGTGATGGCCAAGCCACAATCCCTTCTCCTACACTTTCCTCTCAGGATCTTGGGCATGCATGCACATCTGCCTGGAGTGAGTTTAAGCCACTGGGTCCATAATTTGAATCATGGTCTACTACATGGGAGTCCAGCAACATAGCCATTACGCCAACTGCTGGTCCCAAAATTAAATAGTTCTTAAAAAAAGGCTGACAATGGTTCAAGTCTTGGACTTGGTGGCTTGCTTCCTCACTTTCCCTGTCTCTCTCTGGTCAAATTAAAATAAATGAATGAATGAATAAATAATTCTTTTTTTAAAAAAAGATACAAACAACATTATTAACCCACTTGACCTGACATTTATTTTTAAATACACATGGAATACTTACCAAGACTACATTATGACTATACAATAAACCTTGAAAATTTAAAAGAACTAAAATCCTACAAAGTATCTCTGATGACAACAGAATCAAAATCAAAACTAGAAACTTATTGAAAATCACCTAAAATTTGGAAATCTGTTTATAATTCATAGTTCAAAGAGGAAGTCACAAGTGGAATTTACTTTAGATTGAATGGAAATGAAAATATGACATATCAAATCTGTAGACTGTGGTCATAGTAGTACTTAGAAGGAAATTTAAAGCATTAAATGTTCATATTGGAAGAAATGAAAGATCTTATATCAATGAGCATGCTTCTACCACATGAAACTAAAAAAAAGGAAAATTAAACCGAAGTTAGCAAAAGGGAAAAATAATAAAGATTAAGAGAAGGAATTAATATGATTGAAAACAGTAATAAAACCAAATGGTAGCTCTTTGAAAAGATCAATAAATTTTTTATACCTCTAGGAAGATCAACAAAGATAAAAGAGAGAAGATACAAATTATCAATGTTGGGAATGAAAAATGGTAAATCATAGCCAAAACACTCACTCAAGAAGAAACAGATAGAGTCAGCCCCACAATGCCGTGGTTAAACACTGGGCAGAAGGAGTCAGTTCCCATTAGCTGACCACAGTTTGAATCCCAACCCCAGGGGCTTGAAAAACCATGATAGGTACATGTTTAAAGGATCCTGAAGGAATAGCAAAAAAGAGGAAAAGGGATTACAGCTTGATCAGGCCCCAGTGGAGGGTGATCTCTCTCTCTCTCTCTCACTCTATTTTTTTCCTTTCTCTCTCTTTGGTGTGCGCAAATGCCTTCTATAATTAAAAAGAAAAAAAAAGAGCTGTAGCTCTTTAAAACAGGAGGAAGAAGGAGGAGGAGAGGGAGAAAGACAGTAGAAGAAAGGAGGAGGAAGGAAAAGGAGGAAGAAAGGGAGAAGGAGAAGGAAGAGAAGAAGGAAGGAGGAAAGAGGAAGAAGCAGGAGGAGGGGAAAGGAGATGAAGAAAGAAGAAAAGAGGGAGCAGGAGGGAGAGGAGAAGAAAAGAAGAGGAAGAAGGAGAAGAGGAAGAAGAAAAAAGGGGGGTATAAAGAGGAAGGAGAAAGGACCAGCAGGCATTATAATGGTTATGTCATTAGACTCCCACGGAGTCCATCGCGGTTCAAGTCCTGGTCCTGGGCTTAAAACACACCAGGCACCTGTGCGTGCATGCCCAGAATCCCAAGAGAAGGGATTGCAGCATGGCCGGCCACCTTTTGTCCTTCTGTCTCCCTGTCTCTCAGGTGAGCACAGGTGCCCTATAGCAAAAAATCTCTAAAAAAAAAAAAAAAAGAGGAGGAGAAAGAGGAAGGATTAGGAGGAGAAAGGAGGGAAGAAGAAAAGAGGAAGAAGAAAGAAAGATGAAGGAGAAGAATAAGAAAACATACAGAGAAATAGATCATCTGAATAATTCAATTTTTTAAAGAATTATTTAATTTTATTTATTCATTTATTATCACTTTTTTTTTTTTTGGAGAGATTTTCACTGTAGGGCGCGTGCGCTCGCCAGACAGACAGAGAGAGACATAGAGACAGAAAGCGAGAAATCACCCCCCAGGGGGGATGGTCATGCTGCAATCCCTTCTCCTCCATTCTCCTCTCGGGATCTTGGGCACGCACGCACACGCGCCCGGCGTGAGTTTTAAGCCACCGGGTCCGGGACACGAACCGCGGTTGACTACGTGGGAGTCCAGCGACATAGCCATTACGCTAACTGCTGGTTCCCTATTATCACTTTTTAAATTTTGATCAGAGTGAGACATAGAGGGAGCGAAAGAGAGAGAGGGAAAGTGAGAAAACAAGCCATCAGATCCAGGACTTGAACTGTGGTTGGTCATGTCGGAGTGTCCAGCACCTTAACCACCACGCCACCTGCTGGTCCCCTGAAATCCAATTTCTAGCAGAAGACTAGTTTAAAAGTCTTTCAACATGGCAAATACCAGGCCCAGACGGCTTTATGGATTGAGTTTTTGGTGTCAAATCCAGCAAAACTTTGCCTTGCCAAAGATCACAAAGACTGTCCCTTTTTATAGTTTTAAGTTTTATATTTAATATGTAGTCTGTGATCTATTTTGACTTATTTACTGTATATGGTGGAAGGTTTGGATTGAGGTTCATTTTTTGCACATGGATGTCTAGTTATTCTAGTGACATTTACTGAAAAAACTTTCTCCATAGAATTACTTCTGCACTTTTGTCAGAAATTAATTGACCATATGTCTGAGTCTATTTCTGGACTGTTTTGTTCCATTGATTTCACCTATCCTTTCATTAATACCATACCATTTTGATTACTATAGCTTTATAAGTCTTAAAACTAATATAATGGGCCAGCCAGTGGCATTATGGTTAAGGCACATGGATCCCACATAGCTTACTGAGCAGTTCGAGTTTGGACCTGGCAGTTTGAAAAACACACTGGTCTGGGTGGGCGGAGTAGGCCCTGCGCCGGCCCACCTGGGCCCAGCTGCGGCCCCCCGCCACCCCCCGGGACCCAAACCAAGCAAGGAGGCGGGAGGCGGGCCCCCTACCCAGGGCTCTGCCCGGCGTTCAGCTGCCTCTCTGGGGCCGGCGTGGCCTCCGGACCAGCAAGCTGAAGCCGAAAACAAGGATTGAGAACTTGCAACTGTAAGCAACAGAGAGAATCTTTAGCTGTCTTAAACTAGTTGAGAAATATATAGAAGGACTTGCTCTACCTATGGACAGTGAGA